ATAATAATCAGGTAAAAAGAGATTTTCATGAGTTTATAGGAATATGCATAAAAAAAAATTTAATTATTTTTGTGTTTTTAGTGATATGATTAATAAGTATACAATTTATTAACGTATAAAATAAAAATACAGTAGTATAAAAAATAAATAACTTAATATTTGTATTATGATTTATTAAATTGTATTATCTACACTTCTATAATGGATTTTCATAGGTTATCCTTAACTAATAATCTTATGTTATAAATTTACTAATTCTCATATAAAATTATAGTTTAAATTAAAAAATTTAATAAAATATATAAGAATATTACTATATATTTTTACTTTTTATAATATGTAAATAATTTATTATTAAATTTACTTATAACACACAATGATATAAAACTAATATATTTATTTCTTTCCCTTAGAAAAAAGAAAAATATATTATAACTATAAAGTAAATTTAAAAAAAAAAAAAAAAAAGAATATTTCTGTTTCATTGATACATTTTCATTTAGATAATTGTTTCATTCATTTTTTAACAGATACAGGCATATTTTATTTAACAGTTCTTAATATAATTTTAGGAACTAGTAAAAGATTAATAATCAGTTTATTAATTATATGTACTTTTTATTTCTATAAACCAAAATAAAGATAAATAATAATATGTGATTCATGTTATTATATAGTATATATATAATATAAATTTTAAATATGAAATATATATCTAAATTTATTGGATAATCTTATAATTTTTATATAAAAGATAAATAATAAAGAAATATAAATAAAGGGGAAAAAAATTACTTATATTTCCTAATTGTAAAATTCAATAATATTATTGTAAAATAAAAATAAATATAAATATATATATGAACAATTCATCCCTTAGTATTATATCTATTTTATCTCTTATTATGATTCAATTTTTTTTAAAAAAATATTAAAATTTGCCTTAAGAACAAAAAATATTTCGTAATAAGTTAAAAATATATTTAATATGTAATATAAAAATAAGAAACTAAAGTATATTAAATTGTATTTTATTTCTAATTTATATCATTATTTTATATTATTTAATTTTTAATATTAATTCTTTTTAATATAAGAAAAAAAATTAAAAATATTCTTAATTAAAAAGATATGAATAATGATTAACAAGGAAGTAACACATAAGATGGTAGAATTTTTTATCTCCTATAGTAAATTTAAATAAATTTTTTTAATTTAAATAGAATATGAACTAGTATAAATCTTTATTCATTAATTTATTAATTGTCTTTTCAAAAATTACTTTAAAGTATATATTTATTATTCATTAGATCAAATACTTTCATTGTGTATTAAATAGTTAAGCTAATAATGAGTATGTATAGGTATTTTATTTATTTTACATTCTATAAAATTATTCATTATAGATAATTATATATTCTTTATTTAAATGTATTATATAATATAAAAAATATTATTTATCTTATATTTAAAGCCTTAGTATTAGTGATATTTTAAATTAGTTATTAATCCTTAATTTTTAAAAAATTTATTGTCATACTGATAGAATTTTTACTTAAAATTATTATTATTCATAATTATATATAATGTAATAATCATCAAAACAAACTAATCAATAAAAAAAAATTACAATACATATATATATGTAATTTTTTTTTTTTTTTTTTTTTTTTTTTAGTTATTTACTCAAATACAATACACTATCATCTGAAATTCCAAAAATATTACACCTCATTTTGTTAAAATCTATAAAAGTTAATAATGCACTTTATTGATGGTATATTAAACAATCAAACTAGTAAAGAGCATATGGGGTTTTCTCTATTGGTTTTATTAATTATAAAAATATGTTCCTAACAAATATATAATTTTATTTAATTATATAACTAAATATTAATTAAACAGTTTATTTTATATGAAGTCTTTAATCTTTTAAATAAAGATTTGTTAAAACAATATTTTATCATTCTCAATGAATGAATTACTTCTATAAATAATATTTATATCAATTAATAAAAATTTTTCCTAATTTTTATTAAAAATTAAATTTAAAAAATAAAAACTTTTTGATGCATAAAAAATAGTTTTTTTTTTGGTGAATTTATAATTTTCCATCAAAAGAATTCTTATTAAAAAAAAAACAAAAATAATAAAATAAAATAAAATAAAATGTCATAGAAAAATTTTCATTTTCTTTTTATTTATACATATACTACCAACTTTTTATGTCAACTGTTAAGGTATTTTATAATACACCTTGAGTACATTGATAATCCTTTACTTTATATTACTAATTTAGGTCTCTCGAAAGGTTAATAAAAGTTTTATTAACTTGTAAACATGTCGTAATGAAACATAATTTTTTTTTTATTATTATTTGCATAAAAATAAGTTGATTTCTCTTTTTTAAGATATTTTACTGTCAAAATTTTATATATTCGTGTGTATGTTTCATTTGTTCATAAAATAATAATAAGAAAATAAATTTTTTCATAGAATCTTTTTATTTTAAGGAAAATAATAAATAGAAAAAGATAAATTAAATTAGAAAAAAAAAAAAATAAATTTTTAATAACTTATATATTACTTATAGATGTTTCTTATAAAAAATTAAAAACAACTTTTTGCTATTGTCTCTTCAGATGCATGTTATATGCATAAATTAAATAATATAGAATGAAAATTTAAAAAATAGTTTACTTCTTCTATTAAGTATTTATCAGGTCAATAACAACAAAATAATGTGAAGCATCAGATAATTGACAAATATATAATGAAAATAAATTAAGAAAGATAAATTTAAATTTGAAAAAAACGAAATTACTTTTTTAATTCATAAAATTATAAATTGTTATTTCATTAATTTTTTAATTGATCTATAGAAAAATATTTTTATATAATTATATTTTTCAAAATTAATTCTTTAGGAAAACACGGTGAATAAAATCGTTATTTTATGTTTAATCTTTTTCTTACTAAATCAGAAGTATTAAAAGATTTTAGTTTATTTGATTATTTAATAGGTAAGAATTTTTAATTTTTCTTCTCAAATTTATAAGAAATTCAACTATTTTTTCAAACAGCATTCAATACTTCTATTCATCTAAATATTGAATCAGTAAATAAATACTAAAACATTTTTTAAATAAATGCAATCAATTACTATATATTTTAAAATAAAATTATCAGAAATTTTTTTTTAAAAGAAAAATATTAACAGTTTATTTGTTCATCGTAATGTATATTCAAATACTCATAATTATATATTAGTTAACTACTCTATTAATGGTTGAAAAAAAATAGTTACAATATTTTTCATTTGAATCTTGTGATTTTACAGATGATATTGTCTTGAATGATAAAACATATAGAAAATATTCTTAATGGAATCATAATTCCAGGGAGTGTGATAAGTCTTAAAAATGAAATATGTGAATTAGCTCAATTATTATGCTAAAAGGAGGAAATGTTGAATATGTAACTAACTTAATAGAATATATTTCAGTATTTACAGATTATTTTTATAAAAGAAAAATGTCATAGAAAATTATAGGCGCTAATGTATCAAAATGATATTAGGAAAATATATTTCTTCCTAAGAAAAAATGAAAAGAAACAAAGAAAAAAATAGAGAAAAAAAAGGTAAAATATAACTTGGATTATATAATTTAAAAAAACATGAACTTTGTTTTTAGGCGAGTTATGCTCAAAAAGCTCAATTTGGGGTAATTTACAATTTAGAAATTGAAGTATGAGAAATTCAAGGAAAACAAATAAAGATTAAAGGATTGAATATTAAGAAAGACATAATAAAATATTAGGAAGTAATAAATTTTTCATATTTCAAAAAGTACATTATGGCAAATGAAGAAGTAATAAGGAGAATTAATAATGCTACTTTTAACACAAACAAAGGATTAGCATAAAAAAAAATAAATACATATTTGGTTAATAAAAGGCTTTATTAACCTTTCTGGAAAATAAAAAGACTAGTTAAATGAAGAATATGAAGTCGGTCATGCACAAACAAAAAAAAAAAAAAAAAATTATCAATTTTTTGTTTGTACTTTTTTTTTAAAAAAAAAAATACAAAGATAGTCAGGAAAAATCAATTGGAAAAAGATTTGTACCAATAAATAAAAATAAAATTATATTAAATAAGAAAAACAATTAATTGTTTATATTACTCAAATTCGGAAAATGCCCCACTCTTGTAAATTATAAAAAAAAAATTATGTATTTTTAAAGAAAGATTATTTATAACTAACAAATCATTATATTAAGCCATTTTTCTTATAGGAATAAATAAGGTGCTACGAATGTTGTATGTTTTCATTAACAAATTTACTCTGTTAACTTTTAAAACAAAAACAAAAAAAAATTCATTCTATTCCTACGATATATAATTAAAAGCATATAATTGGTTCTTACTTTTTTTTTTATTTTATTTAAACGTAAACCATAATGAATTTATTTGGTAAATTAATTTTGTTATGTTTTTATGTTTAGGAAGCTCCTGTGATAAATTTTGCCGTAAATACTGTTCCTTAATTTATTTCACATATATTTATGTATTTACTTTTTTTTTTAATTAATTAATATATTTTTTTTTTTTTTTGTAGTGTGTTTATATTAATTTTTTTACTTTTTTTTTATACAGTATTCAAATTTTTTAAGTTTTTCTTTTTCGAAATAATTTATGTGTGTAATTCAATTATTTGTTGTATTTATTATAACATATTAGTGGAAGTTAAAAGATTAATTACACAAATACTTTTTTTACACGTATCATACATTAAAAGTAATATAAATAAATATAAATAAATATATATGAAAAAGTAGATAAAATTTATTGAAAAAATAAATAAACTCTTTTCAAAATGGAGAAAAAAAGTTAAAGAAGATATGTTTTATTATTTCAATTGTATTTTTTGTTAATATAATATATATACATGCATAGTATTATGTTCATGTTCAAATTATATAATTTTTTTAGTAATTTCTGTTTTATTTATTTATGTAAAAATGTTTTAAATTTTCATTATATATGGATATTTTACAGGTTTAAGTAATGAAAAAAGTATTAGAAAAAAAACATAATAATTTAATATAGATTTAAAGTATTTATCTATTAATTATAATTTAGAAAATGAAAATAAAATTAAATTTTTGATGAAATTTCTAAAAATTTCAATCATTCAAATGAATATAGATTTAATGGAAAAAGTAATAATTTAATAACCAAAGATGAAGTATTGTTAAATTCAGTTAAAAATATAAAAAATTCTATTACTGAGAAAAATCCATCGTATTAAATGAATAGAAATGTATATAATTCACATCAATTCAAAGTATATGATATTCGAAAAGAAAAAAAAAAAATATTAAGCCGTAAAATGAGTTCATTTATTCAAAATGAAGACTTAAGTTATCATGTAAAATTTACTGGAAAAAAGTAATAAATACCAGCAAATAGTGCAGAAAATTAATAATAACTTAAAGATTTATAATAAGTAGAATGAATCTACCTTTAACTACAAACCAAAACCTATTAAAAATTCTTATTTAGATGTTATGCTTAGAATGTTAAAACATAATATAAAGAATGATTTAAATCCTTTTAAAAGGAGTATATATGCAATAAATAATCAAAAAATTGTTTTAGATAAAACTAAGTTAAATTCAAATTCGTCTAAATATATGAAATATTACAATAATGCATACGCAAGAGAGGTGGATAAAAATGTAAATAATTCAAAAAATTTAGCTCACAAATACCAAGAAGAAAGTAAAGTTTCGTTTGATCGAATTATATATAAGACAAAAGGAAATTCATTTGAAGTATATCCAACAAACTGTTTGGAATATATTGAAAACCAAAATATAGGTGTCCTAAATTATAATATTGTAGATTCTTTTTCAAATCCTGTTAATGATTATTTAGAATATGAAGATTCATTTTTATTATAGAAGAATATGGAATTGAAGAAGTTCCCATTCTAATGTCCTTATTTGATATATAGATAAAATTGGAAATCATAGAGACAAATTTTCTAGAAATAAAAATTTTTTCTCTGGTCAGAATGAATTTATATCAAAAAATAATTTAAGCGTGGAGAATAGTCAAAGAACACAAAATATTGATAGTAAATATCTAAAAAACAACGTAACGTCTATTACTATAACAAGATGTGAAGCTATTGTTGCTTCAAATGAAATGAAAGAAGAAAAATCAAAAATTGAAGAAAAAATAAAAGAATATAAAGATAATGTCAAAGATATTAAAGAAAAGTATTTGTCAAAACCGAACTATTCTAACTATCTGTTCATTCAATCATAAAGACATAGAATTCTGTTAGATTTACAATCAATAATAAATGGAATAAAATTTATAATTTCGGAAAATTCAACAATCCTAGAGGATTTATCAAGTAATTACAACAGTTCAATATTTTCTACTAATAAAAATCAGCTAAATCAAAAATTAGCCCAAATGGATTCACATTATAATAACATTCTGGATGAATTTAAATCTATGCAAACAAAAAATGAAAGTATTAAACCAAAAGAAAAGTTATTAGAAACAACAAAAAATGAATCAGAATTCACTAGTGAACAAAACTTAAAAAAATCTAAAGATTTTTTTCAAAAAATCAAAGACGCTGAAAATGAAATAAAATTGATAAAAAATATTTTTGATCAGTTAAAGCCTAATTATTTTGAAATAAATAGATTGAAGAATAAATTTTATAAATTTAAAGCAATTGTTACACAAAAATATAATGAACTAAAAGAATTAAAGCAATAAGAAGAATCTAAAAAAATAGTTATAGAAAATATAAAAAAAAAAAATAATAGAAATAAATTCAAAAATAAATGATTTAAATAAAATTAATGCTTCCAATGTAAATGAAGATATTACAATAATTGAGAATTTAATTAATGAAGCGTCATGTGATATGAGTAATTATACAAGTAAAAAAAATGAAATAAAAAAAAAAATTAAAGCTCTATTAAGTCCCTTAAATGACACTAAAAATTCCAATTCATTCAAAAAAATATGACATTTTATAAAAGTAAAAATTAATCTAAATTACACATCATATATGTTAAGTGAACTTAATACTATACTAGGAGAGGTCAAAAAAAAAATCTAACAAAGTAGATAGTATTATCAAGGATGCAAGAAAATAAAATGAATGATATAGAGATTACAATAAAAGATAATGCGCAGCTTAAAAACGACGTTGAATTAAAATTAATTGATAATCTATTAAATAAAATTAAAATTTTATTCGAACAATATGGTAACTTGTCAAATAAATTTATCTCCAAAATAGATAAATATGAAGAGAAAAAAGAAAGATTTGAAATTTGAAAAGGTAATATGATTAATAGTAAAAATGAATTTCTGAATAAACATATGGAGGAAGATTATGTTAAACTAGCAATAGTAAATACTTTTAACGAATCAGTAGATCTTCAAAGACAATTTGATAATGACAAAAGAGGAATAAACGAACAATTAAATAAGGAAAATAGTACTATAAATACTCTTCAAAATCATTTAAAACAGTACAATATTGTATCATCATTTTTTTAAAAGTTTAATGAAAATAAAATAGTTAAAGACTTTATAGAATTATACAACTTATTGATCAAACAAATAAAAGTGGCACGTTAACGGAATATCAAAAAAGATTTAAAACAGCAACAGTTTCAATAAATAAAAGTGTTAAAGTTATTAAGATTTCAAATAAAAATATAGAAACATTTCAAATATTAAACTTTGTTATAAATGGATCTAATATTAATAACATGATTGATGATTTAAGAACACAAATGAATAAATTGAAAGAAAAAATAAAAGCATACATTAGCGAAATTAGCGAAGATAATTCATTCGAACAAAATATAAGAGAAGATTCTTCAGGTAAATTATACGAGCAACAAAATAAAATAGAAATTATAAGTCAAGTTAATGCGATAAATAAAAAATCAGGGGATCTATTAAACTCTTTGGAAGGTTGAAATCGTATGTTCACATTGTTCAAACAACAGATAAAGAATAATCCCACTGGTTAATAAAAGGCTTTATTAACCTTTTTGGTAATAAAAAGAACTATCTTTATGAAGAATACGTAGTTATCCATGCACACGCAAATAAAAAAAAAAAAAAAAAAAAAAAATGATTAATTTTTTTTTGTTTTTCCTTTTTATAAATTTAAAGACGTAAAAAAAAAAACATATATTTTTTTTAAAAAGATGTAAAAATAAAAAAATAAATTTTTATTTTTTTTTTAAGAAAAAAAAAAAAATGCCGGAAAAACTGGTTAAAAAATAAATTCGAAAAAAATTTGTTACCAATAAGAGAAGATATTTACATACAAAAGAATTTAATTTACATAGTATTTATATTTTTAATTTGTAAGAGAAAATTTTATACATATAATAATAAAATTTTCACGTAATTAATATTCATATAATTAATTTGTATTTTTACTAATTGTTTATGTTTATTAGTTCAACAGAAATATATTAAATTGCTGGACATAAATCATAACAAGGAAATAAGTAATGTACATTTAATTAATAATCAATATTCAATAAGGATTTAAATTTTTAATAAAAATAAAGATTTTTATTAAAGTAAATAAATGCCTATTGTAATTAAAGAATGCTGAATTAATTAGATCATATAATTAAAGATCACTCGTTCAAAACTTTTAAAAATATATAAAAATAAATCAAAAATCGTAGAGCCAACTCTACATGCTCTTTATTAATTTACTTGTTCAGTGCTCTTGCAAAGTCACCGAACACACAATTAATAAATCACCCACTTAGAAAGAGTATCAAATAAAAAAATTGAATTAATATCTATCACAGAAAAAATAAATAATTTTAAATAAAAATATGCAAAGTTAGATGGAGATACTGATAATATAATTAGAACCCATTATTTTAGTACTGCAAAATCATTTTATGTTTGCATAAAAAAACTAAATCAGCAAATTATAGATGAAGAAAGCAAAAGTTTGGAATTTTTAGAAGAAACAAAACAAAAATTAGGAAACTTTAATTTTGAAAAGGATAAAGATAAAATTAAAAATAAAATTTATAAGGATAAAACAAATGAAATAGTAGAAATAATTAAAAACAGTAGGAATAAAATAAACTTACATGACCAAAACTTTATAGATATTAAAATTAAATCTAAAAAGCAAATGAATGAAACAAATCAAGAGAAAGAAAATGAAAATTTAGATAAACAAAAAATCAATATGAAAAATATCCATGAAGAAATAAAAAAGAAATACTAAGAGAATTAAATTCTACTAAAAGAGAGATTCATATTTCAATCAATGAAACAAACACATTGATATTAGAGTATAATAAAGAGTTAATTTATAATTAAGTTCAACAAATTATTGATGAAAAAAGGAAGCTTAAAAAGAAATTGAAACTATTGAAAAGTTTAAAAGAAAAATAGAACAATTAAAAACGAATTTAGAAATTACAGAAACCGAATTAGAAAATTTCAATTGTGAAGATCATGCTAACAATATAAAAACAAATAATGACAAAATAATAGAATTATCACAGCAAGTTAATATATTAAAAGAGGAGGAATTTACTTCTGAAGAAGAAAATGCAATTGAAAGAATAAAAACAAGTGTTGAAAAATACATAAAAGATATTCTAAAACATAGAAATATCATAAAAGATGAATTAAGTGAAATTATAAAAATAGAAAACCTATTGGAATCTGGAAAATTTAAAAGTATTTTAAGCGATGTTAGAGATGAAATAAAAAATTTAAAAACAGAAAATACAAAAACAAAAAATTATTTAGAAAAATCAAATAGTGCAAAGAGTAAAATACTAAGGAATCTTCAAAATGCACAAAAATTAAAAGATTCAATCAATATAAGTTTAGATGAAAATACTATTGATAATCAAATAGGAGAAATTAAAAACTAAAAAAGAAGTGTTTTAGATACTATAAGAAGTATAGATGAAATTTTAACAGAATTTGTAAAGTTCACGGGAATCTCTTTAGTTCATCACAACAAAATAGTAAGAGGAAATTATAAAATAAATTATTTAAAAAATCACAAACAAGATTTAAACAATGAAATTACAGAAGGTATAGTAGATGAAAAACAAAATTATGTAAAAGAATCTAAAGCCTATTTAAATGAAGCAACTAGAAGTGAACAAGGAGTTTAAGAAAACTATCAATTAATCTCAGAATATGAAACATATATGAACACTCTTTTAAAGAGTCAATGATTTTTGCAAAAAGATTATTCTAATATTAAAAAATTAATAGAAAAATCAAAACAAAGATTATATATGTTAAAAGAACAATTTAACAAAGTAAAAGCAAAGGATAATGATAGCAATGATAAAGCTTATAAAGCATTTGTTGAAATAGAAAATTTTAAAGCTTATATGGGTACTAATATATCTGAGATAGAAAAAATAGAAGAAAACGTAGAAGATATTCTCAATGCCGCTGGAAATAAAGTGGATTGAATTTCAACTAGATTTGATGAAGATGATAACAATCCATTATATATATTAAAAAAGGAAGATGATTATTTAAAAAAAATTTCAAATGTTTTAGAAAAAGTTAAAAACGCAAAAAGTCTCTTGCTCAGTGAAGAAAAAAGGATAAAACAAATATAAATTAAAATAGATGACATTGAAAATAAAGTGGAAAAGTCAGAAAAAACTTATCAAGGAGTTATTGAAGAAGTAAAAAAAAATAGCTTATAACGAAAAGGAAGTTATGGAATCAGTGATAAATTCAATAGAATCATTAATTAATATGTCTATTTACTTTTATAAAAAATATTCATTAGAAAAAAATAATATTATACAAATATTTGAAGATCCTAGGAGGAGGGAAAATGAAATATACAATAAATTCAATGAATTATATAAGGAAATAGTTTTTATTACATAGGAAGTTTTAGAATCATCTGTAGTCAAAGAAATATCAATAAAAAAAAAAAAAAAAAATGGCAAAAATACTAAAGCTAAAGCTTATAGAACAAAAAGAAGAAATGGTCCAATTATTATCTAGTGTTAATAGCATTAAAAAAGAAGAAACATTAAAATTAATATCTAAAATAAAGGAAAAATTAAATTATTTAAGTGAAATGGCTGAAGAGGAACATTTTAAAATAAAAAGGCATCTTACAGGTATTAATAAGAACTTTGAAAATATTAAAAGTTTAGATGATACAGCTAATGCTTTAGATGAATTAGATCAAAAAAAAAAAAAAATGATGTTGAAATAAAAAAAAATAAAATACTTTTCTTATAAAAATGGAACTGATTTAAATTATAACAATATTGTTGAAACAGAAAAATTTATAGATATTATAGAGGGATGAGAAAATTATGAAATTATAGATGAAGCAAAAATTGTTGTTAGCATAATAAAAGAAACTTCTGATGACATTGATATAAAAAGAAAATGATGGTAAAAATATTATTACCGAAGCTCATAATATTATAGAGCAAGTAAAATATAGGTATGAGTTAAAAAAAAATATCAATGAATAAAAAATTAAGGTAAAGGACATTTTAAACATATTAGAAGTTACAATTGAACAATACCAAAAAATTAAAGAGTTAAGTATTACTAATGAAGAAGATAATGGAATTCTAAAAAGTAATGAATGATAACAAAAATTAAAGGATTCTATAATTTCACATCGAAACCAATTAAGTAAAATAGAAAGCAAATTACAGTCAGAAATAAGTGAAATTAATTCTGATGAGTTTAAAATTGTCCTAGATGAATTAGAAAAGGATATTAATATTTAAAAGGGAAATGAATATGCATTTATCATAGTTGAAAAGGAAAAAAGTGATATTAGTAAACTTATGTATATATTAAATAATAAGTATATTAATTCTTTAAAAGAAAAATGTTCGGTTGATGAATTATTGAGAATGGGAAAAAATGAAAGATTTTGTTAATAGATTTAATTTTACTAACATTGACTTTGAAATAACAAAAGATAAATCGTCAATTCAAAAAAAAAAAAAAAAAAATTATTGAGTTAAACGCAAAATATATAAAAAATAGTGTTGGTTCAATGAATAATAATATAAAAACTTTAAGTAAATATCATACTGAAAATCCTTTCGTTGATCATAAAATAATATGCATTGAAGCTTCCATTAAATATTCAGACGATTTTTAATTGCAAGAACAAGAGGCTATACAAACCATTATTATTATACTAAATACACTTGCCATGTTAAATGAAAGAGAATATACAGTTTCTGTAAGTAAATCCTTTCAATCATTCACAGATCCTTCTAAAAATATAAGAAATAAAAAGAAGGAAACAAGTGAAATTTATAAAAGTATGAACATTATGAAACTAAAAGAAATGGAAGAAAATTCAAAAAAATATTTTTATATAGCAAATGTTTTTCAAGGATTTTCAAATGTTCAAGGAAATAAATTACTATGCAATAAAGAAAAGCTAAAAGAAATTAAAGATTATATAAAGGAAAAATAGCAAGAGTTACAAAATATTAAATCTACATATACAAGGTAATATTCAGAAAAAATAAATGAAATTTTGAAAAGTATTTTATTGAAATTACCTAAAATAAAAGAGTTAGAAGATGATAATAATAATAAAAATAAAAAAATTATAAAATATTTAGAACAAATTTCTTATTTAATGGAAGGAATGCAAACACTACTAAAAGATACAGAATATTACCAATATGAAGGTGATTCTGATTTATCAGAAGAGGAGAAGACAAAAATATTAGATGAATCAAGTGACTAAATTAGGAGAACTAATGAAAAAGGTAATGAAATTAAATTAATTTTCCAGAACAAAAGCATATTATCGCAAAGAATAAAAAAATTTTATTAGAATATAATAAGGTACTTCTTACTATTGATGATAATATAAAGAACGTAAATGATATAAGAAACATTTTTGAAAAATATTGACTTCAAAATAAAAAGAGAGTAACATAAAAAATTATCTAAGTGAAATTCTAAGAATAATTAACGAAAACTAAGTATATAATAAAATTAAAGAAGATATGGAAAAAATAAATAAAAAAAATGAAGAAAGAAAAAAAAGAGTACACAGTTACAAATATTCTAATGAAATAAATAATGAAATTGATGATATTTAAAAGGATGATAATTATTTAAAAAAAGAAAGATAAAATTTAAAACATTTACTAGAACATATAAAAGAAATAAAAAAAAAAAATGGATATAAAATTTAGTAATTTGTCAGGGGATGATAATAATGAGGAATATAAAAATACTGAAGAATATATTCATTATACAAAAAACATAATCAAAGAAGTAGTAAAAAAAAAGTGACAAAATAAAAGACTTGATAGAACAATTGAAAATTCAAAAAACTATGTTAATAAATAAAAGGCATAATAAGAATTTTAAATATGATAGAAAAGGTCATAAATCCAGTAAAAAAAAGAAATTTAACACTAATAAAGTGAAATTAGCAGGTTTTCTTCGTACCCTATTAGCTTGTTCTGGTGTATTATTCTTTATTTTTTATAAAAATATATAGAGGAGGAAGATAAGTAATATAATGACAAATTCAGAAAATAGGAATATGATAATGATATAAGTGATTTTTTGGAAAAGCTGAAATTGTTGATGTAACTTTTTCTGAACAACAAGAACTTTAAAATAAAAAAAGCACGTATTATTTTTTTTTTTTGGTATTTATATTTTGTTATATTTAAATAAACGTAAATCATTTAAACAATTTTCCATATATATTCTCTATATATCATGTATTTAATAGATTTCTTTGAGTATAAATTATTAAAATTTATACCTAAAATACATGAACTTTTTTTTCAGTATAAATTATTAAAATTTATACATAAACTAAATAAACTTTTTGCATTAAAAAACAGACTTTCATTCAATTTTTCTTTTTACTCAAAGAAAAAATTTATACTAAATTTACGTTTATTTTATTTAATTTTATTTTTTTTATTGTCATATTTATATAAATACTTTTTATATATGCTTTTTTTTTTTTTTTTTAATATTTAAATAATTTTAAAAAAATGATTTACTATATTTAAAATTAAAATAAACATACTTTTTAAACAATAAAAAAAAAAATTATTTAAAAAAAAAGAAAGAATATATACAAATTAAATGGATTGTTTTTAATAATTATCACTTTTTCGTCTTAAACCATTAAAACTTTATAAAATATACGTAGAATTTTGTTTCAATTATTTATCAAGTTATACTTTTTTTGTTTTTGGTTGTACCTTATTTTTCTTTTTTTTTAATGTTCATGCATTATTCTAACTTCATATAAAACATGAAGTTTACTATTTTATATTTCTTGACAAAATAATAATCTTTTAAAAAGAAAAACATATATTTTTTATATTTTTTTTTAATGAGATCCTTTTATGAATTCATTTAATTCTTTCAATATAAACCATAAATAATTTTTTTTTTTTATTAATAAAGTTTATATTATTCTAGAAAAAATTTAAAACATATATGAATATGTTGACACTTATTTTAAATCAAATAAATAAATACTTAAATAACTATATTTTATTCAATTAAAATAATTTTTTCATAAATTATTAAAATTAAGAATTAATATATTTCAAAATGATATTATGCATTAATAATTAAAAAAAAAAAATAAAATATCTTACATATTTGAATGAAACACATCTTTTTTTTAATAACAATGTTTCTTAAAAATTATTTTAAAAAAAATTTATAAAATCATACGAAATTTTTTTAGTTGTATAAATACATGCATTTTCTTTTCTATAATAAAAAACTTTACTATTTATATTTTTTCATTTTATAATAAATATATTTAACTAATCTTTTTAAAATTTTTGATTGTAAATAAAAATAGATAAGATAAAAAAAAAAATAGGAGTTTTTCTGAAAAATGAAAATCCTCAATGATTATATAAAAGACAATTAAAATTATAAAAAAGATAGTTTTTTTTTTCTTTAACGATAGTATCCATAAATATTAAACATACTTATTATTAAAATAAAAAAAATAATAAATATATGTAGTACGTATAATTTAAATAAATATTTACATGCATCATTTTAATTCCTTTAAATTTGTTGTAATGTTGATAAGAATTTTATAACATACATTTTAAATATATATCTTTAATCAAAATTAAAATTTGTAAAATGAGAATAAATAAAAAAAAAAAAAAATTTCTGAATTTTTTAATTTTTAATATTTAAAAATCTTAAAAATTTGAATTTATCATGGATATAGACAATTAATTTTTTTTCTTCATAATGGTATGTGTATTTTTAATTTTTCTTATAAATGATCAACTTCGAAGAAGAATCTTCGTAGTAAAATAAAAAATATATTTTAGAAAAAGAGAGAATCTTTTATGTTATAAAATTTTTTAAGGTACAAAAATAAAGAGTAATAATCTGACAAAAATTTTTTGTAGATAATATATTTTATTTTTTATTATATCTAATATTTTATCTTCTAAAAAATTAGAAAAATATAGAATGTTTCATATTCATAATAAAAGTAAATAATATGATTAAGAAAATTTAATTCGCATCTGTGAGTAATTTTCTTTAAAATATTTAAATAAAAAACCTTCATCACAATAAATATACTTTTTAGGTTAAATTATATGGCAACATAACAATGAAATTATTTATTTTGCAAATTACAATAAGATATTTCTTTTAACTTTTTTGTCAAAATTAATATATAATATTTTATGTGTGAATGTAATTTATCTAGAGGTTCATATATGTAACAATATAAAGAACAAAAATTTATTTGCATTTTTAATTTTATATATATTTGAAAAAAAAATTATTTTTATGTGTTCAAAGTGATAATATCTTATGTTCATTTATTTACATTTTGAAAAGGAATACTCATTTTATATATTTATAATTGTGTTTTAGAATAAAAATTATTATAAAAGAAAGTAAAAATATTATATTCTATTAATTTTAATTAAAATGAAAAGCTCAAAAATACTTTATTTTCTTAACATTTTTCTTCTTATAAATTTGATAACATCACGCTTTGGTGAAAGTGCAGAAGGCGGTAGACTGCGTGGTAAATGAAACTAAAAATTTTGAATATAGAAAAAAAAAATAAAATATTTTTCATTATTAAAAATTATTACTTTTCATATATTTTCATTGACATTATAAAAGATATTTTATATTATTATATGTATTTGTAATTCATTTTTAAAATAAATATTGTGAAAATAATTATTTCATAAATTTATCTTATTTCTTATCATAAAATAAAGATTTCGAAAATATTATTTTTTTTCAATTATTTATTAGATGAATTACCAATTTTAGATATGTCATTAGAAAATATTGATTTTAATTATGATCCTAATAACAGTCAATTCGACATTGAAGAATCTGCTTTGAAGTTTTTATATGGTAAAACTCCAAATCCTTTTAATGATTATTGTCTTTTTATTAAAGAAGCTATAAATTGTACTACATTTATATATCAACATTGTGATAGTAATAAAAAAGAGCTTATGATAAAAGATGTAGATAAGTTAAAAGATTATGCGCGGAAATTTTTATTAGTTGGTAAAAAAGAATATATGGACTTGGAAGTAGAAAATTTATTCCTTCATTTCCTTTGCGAATTAAATATAAAAAAATTAAAAGAACAATCAGAAAAAGATTCGAAGAAAAGAAGAGAAACAGTAAACATCCTTATGGAAATACATCATAATTTGACGGCATATAACGATTTTTGGAGAAAAAATATGAGTAAAATAAGAAGAGATTTTACAAATGAAAGTTCATTTAGTAATTTTACTCCTAAAGAACTAGAATATTTGTGGGTGAGTTTATATAAAGTTATGCTTCTTAAATATATTACAAGTAGATTATCAACTTTGGAAATGTTTAAATCCCTATTAGAAAAACAAGAAGGATTAATTAAATTTATGATTGCTGGAAATTTTAATCCTATAGAGAAAAAACATATAGAAGATTCCATTGCAGATGAATATGAAAAATTTAAGAGGAGATCTGATAAAAATAAGATAAAAAGTACGATAAATATAAAAACGGAAGAAGAAGAATCAAATTCATCATTTAAGTCATTAAAAAAGTCTTCAGAATTAGAAACAAGTGACCATTTAACAGAGGCATCATCATTAGAAACAGAAATACCAGGATCATGTTCAGCATCATATTTAAGTTCAGTATTGGAAATATTGCCAATTATTGATAATAATGAAGATTCAATATTATTTTTAAATTTTGCATTAGAATCAATGGAAACTTTAGAAGACCCTGATAATTCGTTAGATACAGAAAATAAAACAGAAACATCACTTCCATTTCCATCTAAAGATAAAAACCAAGAATCTCCTTTATCATTTGATTTAACATCAAAATGTGAATCAAAAGAAAATTTAAGTGAACAACATGAATCATCATTAGAAATATTAGATGAAGAAAAAAAATCAGAAACTTCTACCACTGCATCATTATCTGAATTTCTAAAAATTCCTATTTCACTTTCAAAAGGTCAACCAAAATTAGAATATGGAGAAACTTCTTGCTCAATAGAAGGATCAGTATGCGCTGAAAATTTGGATATAGAAGGAGAATCGTCTTCTATAGAAATTTTAGCGACGAAATCAGGAGAGTCATCAATAAATTTAGATGAAGAAAATTCAAGTTTTTCATTTTTAGAATCATCAAAGGCTTCTTCAGCATCAAATTTAAATTTAGAAGGTGACTCAAAATCCTAAAAGAGGTTTTAGAGTCAATGTTAAAATCAGTATTAATTCCAATTTTAAGTCTGAAAAAAAATATGGAATCATAATTTACAGAAAACATGAAGTTAAAAGAACATAAAAAGTTTAAGTAAATGGAAATTCAAAATAAATAGAGAAAGATAAATTTTCTTTATTAAATTATGTAGTATATTTTCATATATATGGAACAGAACTGTAGTAAGTTAATGTCTTAAATTTTAGAGTTAGATGCAATATTTAAAAAAAAGGGAAAAAATTAGAATGTAAGGAGATTCAAAAACATATAAAGAAAATAAGTTATTTTTTTATTGAGTATCTGTATCAACTCAAACTTTAGATTATTTTTTGCAACTTTCTAATTAAATTTTTTCATTATTTATATCAAATTTATTTATTGTTATATCAGCATGAAAAGCACTAGTTTTTTAATGTTTTGCGTATGTTTTCTTAACATAGTTAATGAAAATTGAATATTAAAACAAAATTTTACAGAAACTTTTTTTTTTTTTTATTTTTGTGGTATATTTTAGTCATTATTTTACATTATCCACATAGTATCTTTTTTTGAATTTTTATTTTCAATTTTTTTTATAAATGAACAAATATCAGATAATAAATTTTCCTACACCTTGTTTGCTATAATATATATAATTTTATACATTTATGAACTATTTTCATTTATGTGGTTTATCCTTATTTTATATAAATATATTATTTAAAACAAAATTAATGTTTTTTGAAAATTTTTTTTTTTCGAATAGCATCTTCTTTTTATTATTACAAGAATCATTTTATCAAGAAAAAAAAAAATAAACTATATCACATCACTATAAAAATATGAATGTTACATTTATTATATTAAATATTATATAAAAAAAAATACCATTCAATTTTTTTTCTCTTTTTTTTTGCTCATGTTCAAAAATATTACGAGGTAAAAAATAACAGAACACTGAAAATTGGAGCAAATTAAGTTAAATAGTACATAAAATATACATATTAACATGTACTAAAATATATAAAAATGCTGAATGAATAAAAAATTGTAATAAAATATAGAATAAAAGAATTTTATCAACTCAACACGAAAATTATTTGCCGCATAATATATAGGTGAAATGGAAGGTAATGATGTATTCCTTAAAAGAAAAAATATATTTTACATTTTTTACTTTATTAATTATTTATGAAAATTACATATAAAAAGCATTTAAGTACTATGTTTCCATGTACCATTTAGAAAAAAAAGTTTTTTTGTTGTGCAATTAAGTTTATTTATAATTCAGGAAAAGTTTAAAATAAGTTATAAAAATAAAAAATGCTTTTTTATTGAATTATTACGTAAAACTAAGGAAAACTTAAAAATAGTTAAATGGTAGTTGTAGAAAAAAAATTGTATATTTTTGTTATTTAATCGAGCTTATATATAATTAAGAGAATCTTAAAAAAAAATATATAAATCGTAATTAAAATAAAAAAAAAAGAACTTAACATTAGGAAAAATGTTTTTAATAAAATAAAAAAAATATATCTTTTATGTTTTAAATTGTAATTTTGATACTTTATAAATATTTTCATTAGTAATATAAAAATAATTTTCCATAGTTAATTGCTTATATTGTTATCTTTTAAAATAAATTTTTTAATATAAAAAAAATGAATACTTCTTATTAATGAACTTAAAATGAATATCTTATGAATGTTTTATTTTCCTAATTCATTGTGTGTCGCCATTTCATTAGTGACAAACTTAGGAAAATAATCAGGTGATTTATTAATTGCCTGTTCAATGAATATGCTAGAAGAGAATATAGAGAAAAATGCTTATTGTATTTTTGTTAAATTAAAATATTGAGAAAACTATTTATTATAATTAATTAATATCAAATGTTAATTACGTTGGCAAATTACTATTGTTAATTTATACAATGATCCATGTTTATAACATTTTGTATTACATTTTTAATATTTTATAAAAAAAAATACTTTATATTTTTGTCATCCAAAAAAAAAAGATTTTTTTTAAGATATCTTATCTTTTTTAAAAAAAAAAAATATATTTTTTCTTTATATAATTCTAAGTACAAAAAAAACAAAAAATATAATAAAATATATCTACTTCTTTAGTGTACATACTTTGTATACTTTTTTTTTTTTAGTATACACATTTATGTGTGTACATTTTCCTTGTATTTTAACATGCACAAATAAAAATATTTCTTCTCATTTTATTTATGTAAATATTATTTAAAATACGTCTATAACACTATTTATAGACCATTATCAACCTCCTTGAAAAAATAATATTATTTCATTTTATTTTCTTTAACCTGTTTTGCAATTTCAGGTCCTTTTTGTTTGTTTTTATCAATTTTAATGTCTCTCTTGTTATTTAGTTCACATGATGTTATAATATTTCTTTTATAAATGCAGAAGAGTTTTTAGGTTTTATTTCATATATAATTTCTTACTTTTTCTTATTCTTTTAGGTTATTCGTATTAAATTTCATGATTCTCATATATTTCCTCATTTTTATTATCTAATATTTTAATATTATAAAATGTCATTTGAATTTCTTTACGTCTATAGCATATAGGTGCTACTTTTAACTTATCACTTTTAATTTCAGTTACCTTATGTTTTAAAGACCATTAAGGTTTGTATTTATTATTACTATTATAATGTCTCCATTGATTCTGCTCATAAAAAGATAACTCATGAAATAATGTTACCAAAATTGATACTTTTAATTGTTACTGTTAATTTCTCTTTCAATCTATTTAAATCATAGTGAATTTGTTACCACCCATGGTATAAATAAATCATTCTTATTTCTGAAGTATTTTCAGATAACAATCTTAAAAAATCAAGACATTTGCAATCCATTCCGAACATATTAAAACATAGTGTTTCCCCTAAAGCTCCATGAGGTGTATTATTATATATCAATACTGCATCTTTCACTATTTCTTCAATAGGTACATCTTTTTCTTCATATACGGTTTTAAATATATAATTGAGACTTTTATGTGGAATTTTATTAATACCATTCCCTTGAAAATAATAAATGCTTGTGTGATACAATTTTATTTGTTATTCTCTATGATGTTTTCTTGAAATTCTTAACATATGTAAACAGAAACGTGATCAATAACAATACTTCTAGAACATCCAAGTGCAAGAACCAGGTATTTCTCATCATAGAAATTGCATCACTCGAAGTAGGTGTCCTTCTAATAATGCTAGTTAACATAAACCTTGAATAATGATCTATATCCACCTGAATATGATATTCCTGTTCATTCCATGTCTTTGGTCCAACAATATCTAATGAAATCATATAAAATAAATTAAGTTTTGATAATGCTTGATTGATATTAGACTTAGACATTTTATTATACATTACCTGAAAAACTAAGCAATTTGTGACTTATTCTTTAATATTGAAGCTCATATTAAACCACCCAAAAGGTCGTCTAATTTTCTTTAATGTTTTATTGACTCCTCAATGCTCAAAATACTTGCTACTGTGAAACCAGAATATTAAATGAACTCTATATTTTTCTGGTATGGTAACAGTCCTGTTTTATAATAAATAGGAAAATCATTTCTTCATGTTAAATCTCTTGAAATGTTATTCTTTTCTCCTAATATCACATCTAATATTTCTTGACAAGATAGAATAATGTGAAAGTTTCCATAATTCTCTGGTGATTTATTACAAAATAAAGTTATGTAACTTGGAATATTAGTGTCTATATATATTAATGATGTTAGTCAATCAACGAAGCAGCTATAAGTTCCTTTAATGTTTTCAAATTCTAAATTAAATTCTGCTAGACTTAATTCTCATATATATAATTTTCCAGTATTAATAAAATTCACTTTTACTAGATCCTTATGGTTAATCTTAATCAATACCTCCTATCCTTTAATATAATAATTGAAAGATTCACAGACTATAACTATTGGTAATAACTCTTTTTCTGTTTTGTTCCATCTCTTTTGGATATAATTCCAATATATTGATGTATGACGAATATATTAAGTTTGACCAACGTCATTTATGTGAGTTAAAAAACTGAAAATGTTCTCTGTTCAAAATAAAATTCCTCTTAATGATGAAACCAATTTAGATGTTCATCTTGGAGAATTTCTAATACAATTTCTATAATTACTAATATCTACATAAAATAATTTCAATAGATTTTCACATTTAGGTTATTCCAATCCAATAATTGTATTTATCTTATTTAAAGAAGATTTAATTTCCTCATAATCTATCATCTTTTTAAGTATGTTGTAGATACCTTATAGAATTCACATTTTTCTACTTCTATTCCTAAACTATTATTAGTAAGTAATTTTCATACTTTTCCAAATATTTTAAATGTTCATTTATAAATTTTGTTAAAATGATAATGTAATGAATATACACAATTACATAGTTTTCTCAAATTAAGTCTATAAAGATATTTTTTATTATCCTTTAAAACAGTATAGGATTATTTTTCAAACCACACGTTAATACTTCAAATGCAAATGTTCGACATTTGGGCAATATAAATTCAGTATATTGTTTACTATTATCATCTTGTGCTATACTCAAAAATTTATTTTTAAAATCCATTTTTGAATATCATTTACTACAATAAAATATTTGTAATATATGTTTCATGTAAGGTAAAACATATAAATCATCTAATGCATTTTTATTTAAATGAAAATAATCTATAGTGATTCTACATCCTCTATTATTCTTACGAACTAACGCAATAGCTGAGAACCAATTTGAATTATCAGAACTACTTATAATATTCATTCCTTTCATTTCACCAATTTTCTTATGAATTTCAATTAACATTTCTTAGAGATCTATGGTTACATCTCCAAGGTTTTCTTTCAGATTCAACAGAAATATTATATTTACCTAATACTTTATTTTATTTTACCAAAGTAATGAATTAGATTTCAACATTTTTCGAAATTTAACATTATATTCTTGTGACTCTAAATCTGTTTCATTAATAAAATTTTGAATTATTGATTTATTAACATTGTCCGGACTCTTCTTATTATCCGTCCTAACTTTCATCATATATATATAATTATTATTATTATTCATGATGAAATATCCTAACTGATTTGTTGCTATATGAATGATTAAAATAAACAGTTTTTCTATATTTACTATAGCAAATCTTGTTTTAACCTATTTATTTGGATATTTCATACTAATTATAACTTCTTTCGACATGTTCTCTTTTTCATCATTCAATATTCTACAAACTTAAATAGGTCAAACACATAAATCTGCTCTACTTCAATTTTTTTGGCTGATTAATTAGGTGTAGTACATACCTATACTCCCCCATATGATAAAACATGTACTTTTCTTTCATTTATTTCAACTATTTGTCTGGAATTTACACAAAATCCTATAAAGCTTTCATTGCTTTATAATTTATTAATAGGTGATTCATTTTTTTCTATTTCTTCAATATCTTCTCCTTGCTCTATTGTTTTATGTAATTCTTCCTCTTTTTATACATTATTAAGTCTATTTCTTTATCATACAAATCCTTCACATCCTCCTTTCAATTTGTTACTATGACATTCCTTTTGCCTTTTCTTTGTTCTTTTTAATGCGCTCTTATTGTATATCCAAATACTTTAGCATTAATACTGTTTTTTTCAAATCAATTTCATTTCTAATCAGCTTAAAACTAATATTATACCTTTTACTTGTTTTTATGCTTCCAATTCTATCTTCTTTATTCCTAAGTACTTTATTTTTATACATTGATGTTAAATAGTATATCATATTACAATTATCAAATTTTTTCTTGTGACGTGTACAGACCTTTTTAAGATGATTTTTCTCTCTCCAACAGTAACATTTAGTAATTTTACCTTGAAGTTAGTTTCTTCTTTAAATTTATCAGTAGCATATATACATTCGTTCGGTTTTTCATGTGACCTACATCTTTTCCAAAATTAATAACGACGACATAACATCTTTAAACTTTTATTCTCTAGAAAGTTTGCAATTTTCTTATTTTAATACCTTTCAGAGGTACATTCCCTAAAGTATCTACAAAAATCTTGTATATTAACATTATTGATTAATTGAACACAGAAACGACAAAGAACATGTACAATACAATCTTCGATAAATTAATTCGTAGCTTCTCATACATTTGCTATTCTTTCAACAATACATAACTTCATTATTTAAACTAATTTCTCATAAGCATTTTCGAAGAATAATTTATCCACTTCAATTTGCAGCTGCGACATGTTAACTACTTTATCGTTTACTGTCAAATTATATATCCCTTATACATGGATCATTGATACAAAAGGTTATAGTATTATATATACTTCCAGTTTAGTTAGCTCTAACATTTTTACCTTATTCTTAAATATCATAAACTATTTTAAATATTCTTGTAAAGATTTTTTATTAAATTTCGATGTCCTGATATTTTAACTTTGATTGTTTTAGCGTTTTTAATAATTTTAAACCGATATGATTATTTAAAATGTATTATTTCCAATAGTACCCTTAATACAAAGATTGACAAATCTTTTTCCATTGTTTAATTCTAATCCAACGTGGGTTTTATCTAAGTCGGCTTTGATTATTCCTGCCACTGTTGCTATGTGATTTATTAATTGGCTATTTAGTGATCTAACTAGTATCAAACAATCAAATTAATATAACATTTAAAGAAAATCCTACTTATTTTATTTTTATCAAATTAAAATATTAATCAAATTATTCACTTTAATTAAATAATATCAAATATTAAATGTATTGGTTAATTACTTTAGTTAGTTTATACAATATCCATTTCATATCACATTTTACACTATTCTTTTTAATCTTTCATAGAAAAAAATATATAATAAAACATATTTATATTTTTTAGTGCACATACAGTGTGTGTTTTTTTTTTAGAATACATGTTTACATTAGTACATTTTTCCCTCATTTTTACATGAACAGATAAAAATGTTTTTCCTCATTTTATTTATTTAAATATTATTTAAAATTTTCCAATCATACTATTTATAGACCATTATGTAAACCTTAAATTTCTCAAATGTTATACCAAACTCTTGTATTTAATCAATTTCATCCTATTAATGTGACTTGAAATGGTTAATAATCCCTTTATTTCCCAATGATAGTTAATAAATTAAAATTTTATTTTTTATAGTTTTTTTTTTCACGTTAAAAAACTCTCACGAAATGTAACAAGAATTAAGAGAAAACATCAAAGCTTAATAATATATGTATAATTTATGGGAAAAAAAAGTAATAAAAATTATCTTATATATAATTATTAATAATAAATAGAATAGTTTAATTTAAAAAAAAATTAATGTGTTTCTAATGTTAATTACGTATATAAATTTTTCTAATAATTTAATGAAATTAAAAAAAATAAAACTTAAAGGAAAAACAATTAAAATGAAATTTTAATGTTAGATATCATATATAACATATAACTTATCAAACATAATTGTTAACTACACATAAGATAAAGAAAGAAACCAAAAAAAACAAAAACAATAAGTTAAATCATAAATATTAAAAAAAGTATATTTTAACTTTATATGTGTTTTAAATAGAAAAAAATTTGTCTAATTATGTACTTCCATATTAAATTTTTCGTTGTTTGTTACAAATGAAAACAATAATTTAATTATAAAGTTAACTAATGATACAAATTTATGAACAAACTCTTTTTATTTCTTAATTTTCTTTTTAAAGAATAAAAAGTTTTACTAATTTTATAATTTACCACTTCATAAATATAAAATTTTTTTTATTTATTATTTACACGAAAGATTAAGCTTTTTGATATGTCTATTATTTTTCTTTTTTTTACTATAGTAACATGTTTTTTTAAACTATTATTTGATTCCTAGTAATATTTTATAATAAAATAAGTGACCTTTCTATGGATTAACTATGATGTACTTAAATCATTCCATTTCCTTCTTAAGTACTAGATCTAATAAAAAAGCACCATCTACAGCTGCCTCTTCTTCCTCCTTGTATGTGAGGCATACAAAATTTATTCTTGCTAGTTTTTTAATAAAATTATATATATCTATTATATTGATTAATAATTTTATTTTATCTTTTATATCTAAAATTTTAAAATTCTCATATAAATTTTTTAATATAAAAAACTTAAAATTATTGGAATCAACAATCCTAAAATAATTACAGTCAAGAGAGAAAGGCTCTGGATCCCCCTTGGGTTCTTTTAAAGTAGAATCACTTAAACCATGACTCTTAAGAAATGAGGTATAATCACACAAAGGATTAAAATTTCCAAAAGCATCACTTAATTCACCCATTTCTTTCACATTCTCTGAAGATATTTTATTAGGGTCTGAATAACTTGAAGAATCAGAATCACAACTAACATTTTTACTAAGGAGTTTCCTAGCATTATCTGATATACTTTTGAGAGGATTTGATAAAGTATGCGTATTCTCATGTTTATTTTCTAAATTATCACTTTCATCAAGAAATGAGCAATATGAAGCATCATCATTTTCTGATTCTTTGATTTTTACCTTTGTTTTTTCTTCATCATGAGAATAACCCATTTCCTCAAGTAATGATTGAAGTGGATCCCATGAAGGATATTCTTTATTTGATGAAGTGGAAGAATCATTATTATATGATTTTTCAGATATTTCTAATTTTTTTCTATAACATCTCTGAGATTTATTATTTTCATCAATTAATTCATTAAGACTTTCACATGAAGAGTAACAAAAATCTTCGAGGCACATTGCATCATAAGATTTAGAATCTTCATTGGAATTTAATTCTTCAAAATCCTCTTTAGAATCATCGCTTTTATCCATTAATTCGCTCATATTATCCTGTAAACATGAAGGTTCACTTCTGATACATTTATTATTACTTTCTAAGTTTTTATCTTGTTCTGAATTACAATTATCACTTAATTCTTCTTGACTTGTGTTAGACAAAGTATCCCCTAAATTTTCAGGACTACTTAATACTTTCATTGAATGACGAAGACCTTTTCTTTCAGATGACAAGCATTTTTTTAATAAATTGATGAATAATATTAAATGAAAAAATAAAAATATTTTTGACATTCCCATTTTATAGAAAAAATATATAAATATAATGAATACTTTACAACAATGTTTTTTTTTTATATATTACAAATGTCTTTGAAAAACAAAAAAAAAGTATACAATAATAGGCTAATTTAGAATAAGAAAAAAAAACTTAAAATAATTTTATCTCAAATTTTAACATCTTGATATTATTATTTTTTAATTTTTTTTACTTATATTTCATAGAAAAATTATTTCTTAAAAAAAAATGTAAAATAACATAAAAGGAGATAAACGTTTATAAATTTTTGTTCTTTAATTTACTGTATAAAACATGTATTAATATTCCCTTCAAGTATAAAGTTATAAATTTTTCACTGTGGACTGTTAAAGTTTTTTTTACAACATAATTTTGTTATGATAATTCTTAAAATACAGAGCCATCCTTATGGATTTATCGGCTTTTCTTTTTAAATACTTTCTTTAATTTTATATATTTTGTTAATTTTTTCATTATAATTTATAAAAGTATATAATAAAAACATGATAAAATATTACATCTTTATTTTTTTTTTTTTATAAGTATTACAACATCTTTTTATTCTAATATTTGTATATTATAAATGCATGTTTTAAATCTCATTATAATACTGAATGTGCATGCAAAAATAAAGTTAATATTTTATAGAGATTGCAATAATTTTAAATTAAATAAAAAACTTTCATTTTAACTAAATAAATTTAAAAAGATATAAAATATATTCACATAAATATTAAAAAAAAATGTAATTAAAATAAAAATAAAAGTAAACATTTAATGAAAAGATTTATGTTAAAATAAATTTATCATTTATAAAAAATTTATTAAATAAAAATAGTATGTTTTATAAAAATTAAGAGTATTATGTATATATATTTACATTTTTTATATTATTTTTTTAAAAATTAGATTAGTAAAAAACAAGTTAGTTTCATTCTTTAATGATTATTCATAATATCCTTTTTATAAGAATTATATTGAGAAAAATTAATGTTATGTGAAAAAATTAAATGTATGATTTTCTCTTTTATGAATAAAAAAGAGTAAAAACTAAATTTAAATTAAACAGTATGGAAATAATACTGGGTATTACAAATTCATTATAGAATGTTTATTTTATTTTATTATATTATTTTCACATTTAAAAAAAACCCTTTCAGTTAAATGATCTTTTTTGAAATTTAATTCAAATTTTTTAAAAAAATAATTTTATATAAATGAAAATTAAAGGAATAACTTAAAAAAGAAAGTGAACATTGTGAGAAATGAACAATTTATTCTTGTATTTGCATTAAATTAGGTTCTTATTAATATTTTTTATTATGTTTAATATAAAGCAAAAAATTTTTTTTTTTTTATCTTACAAATTTTTTAAAGTTAATTGGAAAATTAAATTCATCTTTAATTAAGTTGAATTTGTTTTTAATAAATATATATATGGTTTAAAAGGAAGATTAATTTAAAATATTCTCTTTTTTTAAAATTTATTTAAATTTTTTTGTTTTTTAAATACAATTAAAATAAAAATATAATTCAAATATATATTTAAATTATTTTATGTAATATACATATTATTTTTTTTTGTAAAGCTTTTATATTTTTTTTTTTAATTTATATCTTGTAAAATATTCTATATATTATTACAATTATTAGGAAGTATTGGAAATGAATAAATATGATAAACTCATATGTGATATATCAAAAATTAAGAAAGAACTGTTCTCAATGGAGACTCCTTAATAAAGTATAAAATGAATAAAAAAAAAATTTCAGAAATATATTATGTAAATATTATTATTTTTTAATTTTTTGTAATTTCAAAGATGAAGAAAAATACATAAGATATATAAGTAAATTTAATTTGTTATATAGTAAATTATAAATAATTATTTTTTTTTTTTTTAAACTAAAGATATTAAAAAAGGTTAGCTTGAAATATAGTTTGATTTTTGTATAAATAATTATTTTTTTAAGGATTAACAAAATAAATTTTAACATTTTCAAGAATTACTGTATCTTAAAATTTATGAATTTTGCAAAAACGAGATTACTGAAATGTTTCCACTATGTTTTATTCAAATAAAATGTTTTTATTATTTTTAGTAAAATAAAAATTATACTTTAATTAATTAGAACATACGTATTTTGCTAAATTTGAAAAAAATAGAGAATAAAATATTTCAAAAAATTAATTTTAATACTAAAAATAAAATAATTTGTGAGATTTACAAAGTTATATAAATAGAAAAAATTTTCTTAAAACATTACTATTTTAATTATTTTTTTAAATTATACTGACTTTTATAAATATCTGATGTTACAAAAATAAAAAGAATGAATTTAATATTGCATTTAATTTTTACAATAATAGGATGTAATATTATATAAGTATATCATACCTAAAAGAAATATAATATTTTAAAATAAGAATTTATGGATTGCAAACATATTAAAATAATTGATTAAATAAAAAATAGCAGCTTCAAAATTATAATATTTATTAAATTTCATTTTTTCATTCGTGAAAGCATTATTTTCTTATTATTTATTGTATATAATAAAAATTTAAAAAATATATAATAAAAAATTAAAATAGAATATGTAATAAGATAATTCATTAAAAAAGAATATTCAAAATAAATTGATAAAGAAAAAAGAAAAAAAAAAAACACTAGCAAATTTAATAAAATTATTATATATTGTTTTTATTTCAATGAAATTAAAAGGAATATTGAGTATAATAACAAAATTTTGGTAAAAAGCATAAATTATGTGTTGTTATAGTTTAATATTGTAATTTAAGGAAATTAATTTACATAATTTATAACGTATAATCAAAAAAAAACACTTTAATATATAAAACAATATTATTATATATATAATTATTTTATTATTTTTTTTATTTAAAAAGAGATAAAATATAATAATTTAAAAAAATACAGTATAAAAAATACACAGCCTTTAGATATGGTCAAAAAAGTGAAGTTTTTAAAAAAGTTAAAACAATTTAAAAAAATATTTGGATAATATGTTAAATTCAAAATATATTTTTGTATATAAATTCAATTTTTTAAAATATACTATAGAAAAGTATAAAAATAAAGATTTCTTTATTTATACACAGATATTTTTATTTCATCTAATTTCTGTATATTTTTTAAATGCCACATTTCAAATTAACAAATGTTAAGTATAATTAAGAAATAACTTCAGGTAGTTATATATATATATAAATTTAGAAAAAAAAAAAAGAAATAGTAAGTGTTTCAATAATTTTTAATAATAAAATTAGATATATTAAATGTATTAAAAGAAATAGTTGTCAAATTATGTTAATACTGGGTTTTTTTTATACTTTTTTTCTTATTTATTAACAAAATTAAAAGAAAAATACAATATTAAAAGTTGTATTTTAAGTAAATTAGGTATGCAAACATATATTAACTTTTTCTTTTTTTTTTATATTAAGAATTTTTTAATAATTTTCTAAATAATTAGATATTATTTTTTTATTAAAAATTATTGAAAGGTCTATTAATTTGAAGGATCAATTAAAATTTTTCATTTTAAATGTTCATCTTATTATTTTATTCCTCTTTCAAGTTCATTAATTCTTATTGACTATTAAATTTATTTTTAAATGTAGAATTTAATTAAATGAACAAATTACATTATTCATTTATAATTTTTATATTCAATTGATAATCGGTTCTAAAAATAGAAATTCCCAAATTCCCAGTTTTAATCATGGATTCTCTATTTTTAAGAGAAATTCGCGCAAATATTTATAAAAAGTTATCCATTAACTTCTTTTTCAATTCCTCCCTATAACTTTGTTCCACGAGATATTATTGGATATTTGATATTTTAATTTTTTCTTCATTGTTCATAATATGAACTAATTTAAATGAAATATAAAAACATTCCATATCACTAAATTGTAAATTTATATATATTTGTTTTTCTTGAACTTCTCCATATGCGTTATATGGTATATACAATTTCTATGGATTGAAATTTCGTTTTATAAAATCCCTTTTTATGATTTTTATTATATAATTTTCATCTTTTTTTTTTTTTTATATTTCATATAAATAAATGGGAATCATTTCATTTTCATTCAAAATAGTCTTCTCTACCTCTTTTAAATAATTTGAAGATTCTCTTCTTAATTGAAAATTTGATGATGTATGTGTTTCCTTGGTGTTTCTTCCTTTGTCTGCACACTTTACTGAACAATTAATAATAGGAAATTAATGAGATAATATATTTCGAGAATATCCATTTAAATTGGATAAATTAACCAAAAATGATATTTATTGTATAGTAGTCTTTATTTTAGGTATCATTAATTAACATATATTAAATAATGAATAATACTCTTAATTTTTCTAGTGAACACATTCATGAATATATGTAAATTATTAATTTAGAATGAGAAAATAACTTTTCTTTTTAATTTTTTTTTTACCATATGAAAAATATTATAATAAAGTTTTATATTTTTATGCATTTATATATATTAAATATTTCCATAATTTTTATTTTTTTTGAGCTAATATAACTATTAAATTTATTAATATGATAATTTTTTATTTTAAAGATGTGATTAAAAAGAATTTTTTGTATTCCTTATATTAAAAACATAAAATTTTTGATTATTCCATAATATTATATTAACATTTATATGTAGAATCAGTAATTGATTTTACTACACACATTAATTTGTTATTGTTAAAACATGAAAAAAATAAGAGTTATGTTCTTAAATTTCGTATATAGGTAATTTTATTATTATATTAAAATATGAAACACTATGATATATTAAAAGACTCCTATTTTTAACATAGATTAATTTAAAATTCAAAAATTATTATTCTATGTTATTTTATAAAATTTGGCTTTATTAATTGTTATTAATATAATTGCAGAACATTAAGGCATCTTATAACCACTTTTTTTTTTTTTTTTTTTATAATTAAAAATTCAAAATTTTTAAATC